AAGTGGCAATGCAGGCGACGTCGCTCGGCTCTTGCTCTGGCAACTCTGGCGCCGGAAGTAACACGACACTGACATTTTAATTTAGTGCCAAGCGCAGTGGCTCCCAGTCCCAGCCAGTCCCAGCCAGTCCCACTCGCCCCCGTGGCCAGCGGGCTCCGCTGTTGGGTTTCCTGTTCATGTCACTTCTTCAGTTTTGCGTAAGAAACGGCAGCCACTTTGACTAGCGCTGACAGCGCCAGGGCCCGAGTGGAGCCGCCTTGGATTGACAGTGTGGCACAGGCAACCCAGCCCTCAAATTGGCTAACAAGTTGTAATCAATTCGATTAGCGATCTGAAAAGTTATTAAAAATTCAATGAATATTCAATTGAAATGTAAGTATGATATATATATAGTCTATTTCTGATATATCTCGAGTATATAGCGGCGGATCAACTGGAAAATTCATTAAATTACTGGTTTTTTCTGTAGGCCATATCTCTGGTATCCGGCAGCCGATCTAGCCGTGGCATGTCTCTCCGTGCTCGGGAGAGTCCTGCCAATCGACTGCCATCCTAAAAAGGGACATCAATTTTCTCACGATTTTCGCAAAAAATCATGATGGTTACATCATTAAATTTGCCAAAAATCGGCCTCATTTTCGAAGTCGAGGTTTTGATGCCGTTCGACAGTCTGGATCCTCGTGATCCTAGGAAAGTTGGTCCTTGACCGATCTGGTCCTATATGCCTGAGATATAGCCTTACGAAGATGTGGATTAGCATAACATTACAATACTGGTTTTTTCTGTAGGCCATATCTCTGGTATCCGGCAGCCGATCTGGGCGCGGCATATCTCTCCGGGCTCGGGAGAGTCCTGCCAATCGACTGCCATCCTAAAAAGGGACATCAATTTTCTCACGATTTTCGCAAAACATCATGATGTAACCATCATTAAATTTGCCAAAAATCGGCCTCATTTTCGAAGTCGAGGTTTTGATGCCGTTCGACAGTCTGGATCCTCGCGATCCTAGGAGAGTTGGTCCTTGACCGATTTGGCCCCATTTCTCCGAGATATAGCCTTCCGAAGCTGTGGATTTGCATAACATTACAATACTGGTTTTTTCTGTAGGCCATATCTCTGGTATCCGGCAGCCGATCTAGCCGTGGCATGTCTCTCCGTGCTCGGGAGAGTCCCGCCAATCGATTGCCATCCTAAAAAGGGACATCAATTTTCTCACGATTTTCGCAAAAAATCATGATGTAACCATCATTAAATTTGCCAAAAATCGGCCTCATTTTCGAAGTCGAGGTTTTGATGCCGTTCGACAGTCTGGATCCTCGCGATCATAGGAGAGTTGGTCCTTGACCGATTTGGCCCCATTTCTCCGAGATATAGCCTTCCGAAGATGTGGATTTGCATACCATTAAAATAGGCCATAGCCATGATTCCACTGCTGTGTACCTGAGTCGACAAGGTGGCGTGCCGTCCGCTGCAGCAGCGACCAGAGATCGACGACGAAATTGTTGGTTCACGCCCACGGGAAATAATGTCAGCAATCAAACGCTGGGCTATAGCTTTGAGACGCGTAAGTAAATCAGTATATATGTAATTGTGTATATATTTTAATATAAATCTTCCTTCACAGAGGACTTCTGTACCCTACACATTGCCACAAAAGGAGTCGTATCCGATTTCCCCCCGCCAGACGGAGTTCTATCCAGGCATTACCGAGACCCAACCAAGCCAGACAGAATTCATCGTCATCCCTCGACCTGGACATCGATAACAAGGACTTTGACTAGGACAACCAAGGGCAGAACACTCTAGATATATCGTGTTGTTGTTAGGTTTAAGGATATACACGTTTATATATTTAGATAGTAGACAAAAATGTTTTCCACTTGTTTAAATATTTATACTTAGCTAAGTTATGATGAATAAAACTTTTGAAAAATTATCCTTGCTGTTTTCTGATTGGGGGAAACTATCCCGATTGCAAAAAGGCGTGGCACGCCCAGATCGGTTCACAATTAGGGGAGAAAACGAAATCTTATTGATTGGGGAAAATGTCCTTGATCCTTGATAAGGACTCCATAAAATCAGGGACATTTTTTCGATCGCAGGAAGCCATCGCAAGGCCAATTCGGCCCACAAATAGCAGAGAAAACTATGTATGTATGGTTGGGGTTGTTGGAGTCCTTACGAAAGGATCAAGGAGATTTTTCTGATCACGGCGGGCCATGGGACGACCCGATCGGGCCCCAAATAAAAGAGAAAACAAGATATATATGTCTAGAGAAAATATCCTTGATCCTTGGTCCTTGATAAGGACTCCATTAAATCAGGGACATTTTTCCGAACTCAGGAAGCTATCGCACGCCCAGATCGGCCCACAAATAGCCGAGAACACTATATATGTATGGTTGGGGTTGTTGCAGTCCTTATCGAAGGATGAAGGACATTTTTCTGATTACGGGGGGCCGTCGCACGTCCCGATCGGGACCTAAATAAGGGAGAAAACAAGATAAATATGTCTGGAGTAAATATCCTTGATCCTTGGTCCTTGATAAGGACTCCATTAAATCAGGGACATTTTTCCGAACACAGGAAGCCGTCGCATGTCCCGATCGGGATTCAAATAACGGAGAAACAAATCTGGTTTGTAATTTGGTATTTTTGAAAATGTAGTTCAAGAATTCGCCGATAGTAGCGCCACCGTACAACATGGAAAAACTCGCGTCAAATGGCCAAAATCTGGATGGGATACCAGGCGAACAGAAATCAGCAGAAGGTAACTGAATTTTTTTAAAATTAATGGTCCCCCAAAAGTATGCACCATTTTTTTCAATTCCTACAGTTGCTTGCTGCTGATTTCTGTTCGCCTGGTATCCCATCCAGATTTTGGCCATTTGACGCGAGTTTTTCCATGTTGTACGGTGGCGCTACTATCGGCGAATTCTTGAACTACATTTTCAAAAATACCAAATTACAAACCAGATTTGTTTCTCCGTTATTTGAATCCCGATCGGGACATGCGACGGCTTCCTGTGTTCGGAAAAATGTCCCTGATTTAATGGAGTCCTTATCAAGGACCAAGGATCAAGGATATTTACTCCAGACATATTTATCTTGTTTTCTCCCTTATTTAGGTCCCGATCGGGACGTGCGACGGCCCCCCGTAATCAGAAAAATGTCCTTGATCCTTCGATAAGGACTGCAACAACCCCAACCATACATATATAGTGTTCTCGGCTATTTGTGGGCCGATCTGGGCGTGCGATAGCTTCCTGAGTTCGGAAAAATGTCCCTGATTTAATGGAGTCCTTATCAAGGACCAAGGATCAAGGATATTTTCTCTAGACATATATATCTTGTTTTCTCTTTTATTTGGGGCCCGATCGGGTCGTCCCATGGCCCGCCGTGATCAGAAAAATCTCCTTGATCCTTTCGTAAGGACTCCAACAACCCCAACCATACATACATAGTTTTCTCTGCTATTTGTGGGCCGAATTGGCCTTGCGATGGCTTCCTGCGATCGAAAAAATGTCCCTGATTTTATGGAGTCCTTATCAAGGATCAAGGACATTTTCCCCAATCAATAAGATTTCGTTTTCTCCCCTAATTGTGAACCGATCTGGGCGTGCCACGCCTTTTTGCAATCGGGATAGTTTCCCCCAATCAGAAAACAGCAAGGATAATTTTTCAAAAGTTTTATTCATCATAACTTAGCTAAGTATAAATATTTAAACAAGTGGAAAACATTTTTGTCTACTATCTAAATATATAAACGTGTATATCCTTAAACCTAACAACAACACGATATATCTAGAGTGTTCTGCCCTTGGTTGTCCTAGTCAAAGTCCTTGTTATCGATGTCCAGGTCGAGGGATGACGATGAATTCTGTCTGGCTTGGTTGGGTCTCGGTAATGCCTGGATAGAACTCCGTCTGGCGGGGGGAAATCGGATACGACTCCTTTTGTGGCAATGTGTAGGGTACAGAAGTCCTCTGTGAAGGAAGATTTATATTAAAATATATACACAATTACATATATACTGATTTACTTACGCGTCTCAAAGCTATAGCCCAGCGTTTGATTGCTGACATTATTTCCCGTGGGCGTGAACCAACAATTTCGTCGTCGATCTCTGGTCGCTGCTGCAGCGGACGGCACGCCACCTTGTCGACTCAGGTACACAGCAGTGGAATCATGGCTATGGCCTATTTTAATGGTATGCAAATCCACATCTTCGGAAGGCTATATCTCGGAGAAATGGGGCCAAATCGGTCAAGGACCAACTCTCCTATGATCGCGAGGATCCAGACTGTCGAACGGCATCAAAACCTCGACTTCGAAAATGAGGCCGATTTTTGGCAAATTTAATGATTTAATGATGATAAATTTAACCATCATGATTTTTTGCGAAAATCGTGAGAAAATTGATGTCCCTTTTTAGGATGGCAGTCGATTGGCAGGACTCTCCCGAGCACGGAGAGACATGCCACGGCTAGATCGGCTGCCGGATACCAGAGATATGGCCTACAGAAAAAACCAGTATTGTAATGTTATGCAAATCCACAGCTTCGTAAGGCTATATCTCGGAGAAATGGGGCCAAATCGGTCAAGGACCAACTCTCCTAGGATCGCGAGGATCCAGACTGTCGAACGGCATCAAAACCTCGACTTCGAAAATGAGGCCGATTTTTGGCAAATTTAATGATGTAACCATCATGATTTTTTGCGAAAATCGTGAGAAAATTGATGTCCCTTTTTAGGATGGCAGTCGATTGGCAGGACTCTCCCGAGCACGGAGAGACATGCCACGGCTAGATCGGCTGCCGGATACCAGAGATATGGCCTACAGAAAAAACCAGTATTGTAATGTTATGCTAATCCACATCTTCGTAAGGCTATATCTCAGGCATATAGGACCAGATCGGTCAAGGACCAACTTTCCTAGGATCACGAGGATCCAGACTGTCGAACGGCATCAAAACCTCGACTTCGAAAATGAGGCCGATTTTTGGCAAATTTAATGATGTAACCATCATGATTTTTTGCGAAAATCGTGAGAAAATTGATGTCCCTTTTTAGGATGGCATTCGATTGGCAGGACTCTCCCGAGCACGCAGAGACATGCCACGGCTAGATCGGCTGCCGGATACCAGAGATATGGCCTACAGAAAAAACCAGTATTGTAATTTTATGCAAATCCGATGTCAGCCGCTCGCATGGAGTGGACTGTCGGCAGGCTTAGGTCCTTCTTAAACAAGAGCTATTCATGGCCTCCGGAAGGTGCGATCTGCTAAAATAAAAGAAAGAGTTAAATAAAGTAAATCAATAAGTAAAGCTTAGTAACTTTACCTGGCGGGGTAAGAGGAGGAGATCGCGGTTGTTGCCAGAAAGGGTCTCGGCCAATAAGCTGGAGGGAATAAACATAAAAAAGAATAAGAACCAAGAACAAATAGTCAATGAAAAAGATGAATAGAGGGAAACCAGAAAACATACCCGGTCAAAGCCTTCAAGGTAAAGCAGGATGTCGGTAATGTCTGCACCTGCGAAGCACGTAAGTCGTTCATCGTGTGTCGTTAAACGTGCAGACATGCGCGATGCATGCGATCGTGGATGCAGTATCGATCCGGCAACACCCAAACAGGTACAGCCGCCGGAGGGAGCCCGGCTACTACTGTGTACCTCATGGTTCCGGAAATGTTTACCTGTCTGTTCAAAATCCCACACCGACGTCTGCAAAGGTATAATGAGAACAGCTGGAATTAGAGCCAAGTGAGAACACTTCAATCCAGATGCTCTCGATGACATGGATTTTGTAGAATGTAGGCCACCACCAGGTGCAGAATAAGCAGAGCACTCCGAACCACCCAACGAAACCAAAACCAGTGCAAAATCCCAACGCCAACGCCAACACCAACCCCAACCCCAATCCAAACCAATGCGCCAGCAGCCGCAGTCATTCATTCATATCTCAAACAAAAGCGGCATATGAAATTCATTTACTCCGCTCACAACCATTCGTCATTCTATAACCCCCCCGTTTTTCCCGTTTGCCGCTCCTCGAGCGGTGGCATTCCACTGCATGACCAAGGGTGCCTCATCCAGCACGTAGGCGGCGGCAACCACCGTCAATTAAAGCGTTGCCGGTGCCGCCTAATTGGATTTATGCCACATTTATGTGTGTAGGTGCAAATTCGTGGAATCGCGAGGCAGGCCCAGAGGCAAAAGGGGCAGAAGCACAAACTCGTGCTAAAAATCAGTAGGATAATGAGCGAGAACTGCTGCCATTAGGAGGAGCCCCTGGAAAAGGGAGGAGGGGGAAAACAGACAGCCAGAGAAACACAAAAGTACGAACCACAAACTTAATGCCAGGACCTCACATCCCACATTCCGGGCCCCCTTACCCCGTACCCCGAACCCCCCCCCGGACCGACAACAATTGCAACTTGCGAAGCACTAACAACTTTCGAGGACTTTAAATGAAATTACGCGAAAACTTTCGGACCACCATCCACCGTGATGGTAACTTTTTCAAGAGGTCTCCAGGACCGACTGAACCTCTCTCTGTATATTGCGGTTGCGGGCACGCTCGTTGGACTCCGGACTGTGCAACTGTGGAACTGTGGCACTGTGTGGCCGAGAGGCGCATAATGAGTTTCATAAATTACCGCAAATTAAAGACACGATGAGTGTGCCGCCGTGCCACCTTATAGATGCCACCTCATTGCCAGTCGGGACTTCGGCTTCATCCTACATTCATCCAATCAACCCCATCCCCCAATACCCAATCCCCACTCTCCCTCTCTCGCTCTGTCTCTGCGGTCATTGGTTTGTAATTAATGCGACCAGAAGCTGACCAGAGCCGGACTTGGCACGCCTGCGGCGGCCTAATGTTACAGAAGAAGGGCCCCAGAAGCCAGGTCAGAGGTCAGAGGCGGAGACTGAGGCAGTCCTGGGTCCTCTTCGTCTGCGGTCGCTATCCGTGTGGAGTTGAGTGCTTTTGTGTTTAATTTTATTAATTATCGACGTAATCTTTGAAGTTGCCTCCTCCTGACTGGAGGAGCCTCCTTCTGTGGCATAGGGATATTCAACTTTTGTCTGTGCGGAGGCGCCTCCATTAATCGCGTTAACTCGAAACGTGTGTGTCTGTGGCAGTTCTTGGCGCGAAATCCCCATATAAACTTTTGGCAGCCCCAACTTTTTTTCGCAACCCCCAAACCCAATTACATCGCTGACACATGCCACAGCAAGGTGAAAGGAGAGCAGCAAAATAAATAAGCTCCTGTTGAGTTCCGTTCCTGTTAAATCATTGCAAAATCAAGGCATATCCCAATTTGATTTGATTATCCCCGTTGCCAGGGCACTTTTTTGGCGCTTTACCTGTAGGCAGAGGCAGAGTCAGAGGCTGAGGAAGAGGAAGTCCAGGAAGAGGCCACTCGCCGTGGCAACAGCTGCTCATTTGCTAGCGCTAATCCTAAGAGTACTTTCCCACCATCCTGTGGCATTGCCTGGCAACCGGAGACCTCGAGGTACCGGTTCGGGGTTCTGGGCCCTGGCCTTTTTCCCAGAGGCGTAATTTGAGCGCAAATATTGAAGTTTTAAAACCACCAGCAACAGTAGCAGCCAGCAGCCAACAGCAGCACCACAAATAAAAGAATAATCATAATAATGAGCAAATATTTAAGCAGCCAGAAATCAGAGAAAGGGCCAACCAGCCAGCCAGCTAGCAGAGACCAGTGGCTGCCCTGAGACAGGGGAACACACGCCCTGGATACATAAATTTCTTGTCGATAAGGAAAACCTTCCATCCATCCATCCATCCCCTTTTCAATGTCTCACTCTCTGCTGCTGTGGTGCCTGGTCTTGATTGTAATTATGAATGAAATTCGAATTGCAGGAATGGAAATTCGCTTCAGTTTCGGTTGCAGTTGGTCCCGGGCCACGTGCCTTCTGATCCTCCGGTCACGTGGCACTCATCCCCATACCCATTCGCAGACCGTACTCCTTAGCGTCGTTTCGCGCTCATCGGAAGTGCCAATAAGTAGTTGTCAATATTGACTGATTATCTCGACACGGAGAAAGCGAGAAAAGGGAGAGAAGGGAGACTGAGCGGTAGAAGTAGAAGGAAGAGTCGTGATTGTGAGTTGTTTGGGACTTAGGCGGAAGCAAACATAAATCACAGCGATAGAAACGATGGCAACCCTCCCTCCTTCCTCCTTTCTCCCTCCTCCCGTACAGTGGAGGAAGGAAGGTCTCTCGACCGGGCAATGCAATTATTTTGCAGGAGATGGCCATAATTTAGGTTGGCATGCGACAGGAAGAAGATGCTACTATTTAGTTCCATCGCCTGCCTGCTGCCAACTGCCTACTGCAGGAGATGCCACAGGAGATGCGCATAATTGCATTTGAATGGAACCCAAAACAGACTCTTGCAACAGAGCCCCGCCGCTGCCAATCGCTTTATCTCGATGTAATGTGGGGGATGAACTAAACGATGATTTTATCTATCACTGGGATTACGCTAAGATGCTACAATGGCGCTATTATGATGGCATTGCCGATTCCAGGGGGTCTTAGCTGCTGATTACTATCTCCACTTGAATGGAACTTTTTTTCCACAAGTTCTATACATAGGTTTCTTTCATTCGAATTGTTGACCACTGAATAACTAAGCGGACAACTACAAAAAGGTCTTATCATAAGAGTTATTCCAGAAAACACTTAGAATAAAAACAAATGAGTACGAGAACGAGAGCCGCCAGAAGTGTCGGGTCGGAGGCGCCGCTTTAGTTAGTTATCGGAATATGTTTTATCACCAGAAGAGAGCAAAACAGGGTGAAAGAGAGAGCTCGGGCAATGTCTTGATAAATATAAACTCTGGCTTTGGTCGAGTAACGACCGCTGGTCAGTCTTCATTATAACTTTAACAGTCACTGATCTTCCGCACGAAATATGGCACTTCTCTTGGGTCTGGGACTGATGGTCCTCATCCTCGTAGGCGGCACAGATGGGCGCTGTGAGAGATCTGCTACTCTGGACCATGGCACGATATCCAATCGGAATAGAAATTTCGTCCGCTTTCGATGCGATTACGGATATGCGCTGCAAGGCAGTTCCATCTCGACCTGTGGCTCGGATGGTCGGCTCCGAGGGGAGCGACCCTTCTGTGCGAGTAAGTGGAGGGCCGTACCAGTGTGCCAAACTTTGGCTAATACTTTGGACTACTCCACCTAGAACGGGGCTGCCCAGAGCTAAATTCGGAGGGGAACAGCTATAGCTTCACCAACAACGGCCTGAAGGCCTACACTGTTTGCAATGATGGCTTCGTGCTGGTGGGCAGTCGCAACGCCTACTGCAATGGGACGCACTGGAACACCGAATTGGGCACCTGCCGTCGCAGCAACCACGCAATGGATCACTCGTGCGACTTTGAGAGCGAGGATCAATGCGGCTGGTCGGCGGAGCAGACATTCATGCAACCCTGGAAGCGCATCAGCACTGTGGCCGACCACCACTCGTTCCGCACGGGTCCGCGGCACGATCACACCATTCAGAATAGCTACGGGGGCCACTACATGCTCATGGAGACGAAGAGCGGGGCCTTTGGCAGCTACCACTTCATGTCGCCCATCTATCCTCGGGAGCTCAGTCTGAAGACCGCCTGCTGCTTCCGGTTCCACTACCTAATGTACGGCGCGGGCGTGGACAACCTGGTGGTGTCCGTTAAGCCGTTTTCCCTGCCCGTCCAAGACATGTGGTCTACGTACAGGGACAAGTGAGTCTCAGAGAAGCGGAAGCGACTCTTGATAAGCCCCGACGATCGTCGTCATCGTTCTCTCACTCTCCCTCTCTCTCTCTGCCACTTCCACTTCCTCTCTCTCTCGCTTGCAGTTCCACGAAATGGAAAATGACTGGCAGTCAGGGCACCCAGTGGCTGGAGCACACCATCTTCATTGACGAGATGGAGGAGGACTTCCAGGTGATCTTCACGGCCACCGATGCCAGGTCGCGGCTCGGCGACATTGCCATCGATGATGTTCGGCTGATGACGGGCCGGGACTGTGGTGTGGGTGAATACACGACCACCACGGAGCCCACCGTCACGCCGGACAGAAGCGATGAGCCAATGGTCTTTGACATGGCGAACTGCACGAATAGGTGTGGCCGACCGGCCACCCCGTACGTTTTCACTGCGAATGGAATTCTCATCGGCTGTGGGTGCAATGAGGATTGCGTAGAACAGCAGAATTGCTGCCTCAATTACTTCGAGGAGTGTGTTGCGATGACGGATGCCACCACTCCGGAAGAGGTTGTGACTACAACAACAACAACGACCAGAAGGCCTACAACCACACCAACGACTACAACAACAACACCAAAACCAACAACAAAGCGAACTACAACAACAACTACAACAACAACTACAACAACAACAACACCAAGGCCAACAACAAAACGTACAACTACTACCACAACAACAACACCAAAACCAACAACAAAAACAACCACAAGACGTACAACAACTACAACAACAAGAAAGCCTACAACAACAACCACAAAGAGGACAACAACAACACGAAGACTTACTACAACGACTAAAAGAACAACAACAACACAAAAAACTACAACAACAACAACACCAAAAACTACAACAACAGCCACTACGCCAAAGACTACAACAATCGCACCAACGACAACAACTTCAACAACAACCACATCCACTCAAAAATCAACTTCCGCCGCTGTCAATTCTCCTCAGGCAAATCCAAGTAAGAATCTTCATAGCCATACGAAATATATCATAATCCTCTTTCAATAGTTTCCACTACAGAGCGGATCAATAACCGCATCTCTTGGACAGTGGATCCCAATGCCATTGCTGGAAACATGGACATCACTGGCAACTCCGCCGCCAATCCCGCCCTCATCATGCTGTACATCCTCCTGGCCATCGTCCTGATTGTTGGCGTGGGAAATGTCACCTATCGCTGGATCATTCCAATGACAGCGTCCGCCCCCGGCAACGAGAAGGCTGTGGCATTCCAGAAGGCCTTCAGCAAAGTGAGGAAAACGAGGCTATTGCGGCGCAATCAGCCGAAAGACGGTCAGGGTCAGCCGTTGTGCGATACCGATGACGAGGATGGTGATGACTATTTCGAGAATGATGCAACCCGCTTTGAGGAAATGGGCGTGGACATACGGAATGTGACGGACTTATAACCGAAATGCGGGACGCACACAGAACTTTCTCTCTCTCTCTTTCTGTCGCAATATGAGGGCGCTGTCCCTACCCGTTAATCTGTTTTTGTATGTATGATTATACCTATTGTATAGGTTAGGAATCCTAACTCATTTATGTAGAAAACAAATAAAACTGTATTCAAATGTTACTAATGGTTGAGAAGTTCTGAAGATCATTGAAGCAAAAGATTGGATAAGATTGTACACACATTTTAGGTTTTTGGCTTATCTTTCTTCTCTTCCTAATGCCAAAACGTATGCTGAAATATCTGTCACTTTCGAATGATTCTAGTGATTATATCTATTCTGATATCTTTTTTTGGTTCCTGCAGTATCTAAAGCGCATCAAATATTCCACCAGATTATCATTTACACCTGCAAAGGATTCCCCAGACAAAGCATTCCCCGTGTTATTTAGGCTGCATTTAATCTTAATAAAATATTCCATAAAAGGTTGAAAAGCGTGGGGGTTCTCTCAAGGGATGCCCTCCATGAATATTACAATCAAATTATGTTATATTTCATGCACGAATAGGGTTACTTCCCAGCCACTAAATGTATCAAAAAAATATATATTGAATTCAAATAACAAGTGCGCAAAAGGGTCGCACGGTCTCAGTCTGAAATCTAATACATTATATCAAGGAACCCTTTTGCCGAGAAGGAACCCCCTCCTGAGTATGAATCACTTTTTTGTGTGCGTTTAACGAGCCTCAAGAGCGGAGGCCTGGCCGCCACGACGATCTCCCCTAATCAAATCTTGTGGGGAGTGTCAGTTACCCAGAAGTTCTCCTCGGCCTAAGGCCTGCTCCTGCTCCTGGCCCGGCTCCTGCTGATGCTGCTGTCAGTCAGCCTCCATAGCCTCCCGCTCTTTCTGCAGAATGTTGCACGTGTCCTGCCGGCGGCGACTGTTCTGTTGCAACCACCGACCCGGCTCGACTCGACTCGACTGCTGGCTGGAAAAACCAGCAGCAGCAACCACCACAGCCATGGGGTGTTCTCGGGCTCATGTTTTAACAGCGGCTTTGGGTTGTGATTTAGTGGCAGCTTAGCGTCTGGGTCTCGGGGACCAGTTACCACTAACCAGACGTCAACCTCCCCCTGCCCCTGCCCTACAATCCCCCCTGTAGAACCCGCCTGTAAAACGTTTTGTGCCGCACTCAGCGAAAATATTTTTCTGGGCATTTCATGCAATTATTGCCCCTGGACCAGACCAATCCCAGACACCGATCCCCACCACCACGGCTACCGTTTTCCCAGCCAACGAGTCGCTGGCAGTTTGCACGCTCAACAAATTTTCACACAAGATTTTCCAGAGCAGCTTTTCCGCAAAGGGGAAAAGCCTAGTCCAATTGCTGGCAGAGTTTTGCATCTCTCCTTCCCCAGTTTCCTTTTTTCCCGTTTTGTTTTTTGACTGCCAGACACCCCTGGTGCAGGGGGGGCGGGGCTGCCGCACTTTCTGTTTGCAATTGTGATTTAGCGCCCCGCGCTCTATCGACTTCTCACACATCACTTGATCGGGGGAAATTCCTTCCGCTCTTCCGTTGTTCCGTTGTTCCGTGGTTCCGTTCTGTACTTATTATTTTCTGTTGTCCTTTTTTCGGGTTTTAATTAAAAAGGCATTTTGACAACGGGGCGTGCCTCGAGACACTTTTGGCGTCTAATGCCCGTTGAGTTCCTAATTAAATGGTAAAGTAAGTCGGCTTATCTAAGGGAGGAAACCACCTCCTGCTTCTTTGGGGCCATCTGGTGGGTGTGGGGGGCTCGTTGCATCGTAAATATCCACTCACTTGACGAGGCCTGGGGACAAATTTTTGCATGCCACCCCCTTGGAAATGGTATTGAGTGGGCGCTGTGGATATGGGGCTGCTTATCTATCACATTCTGGGCAAGCCCACACACGATGCCTGAAACAACGGCAACGGCAACAACGTCGACGACGACGCACCCTCGACACCCAGTAACAGTCCACGTTCCGGTTCCCATAGGCCCTGGCTACTGTCCCGGGCTTATCGCGGCAATAAATCGCATTAATTTATTGTTGTCGCCGCATATTTCGTGGCACTGAGGCCCGCCCCGCCGCCTGCCTCTGTGTGGCAATGCCACTGCCTCTTAATGGGCTTGTCCACTCGCCACGGCCACTCTGCGGACAGTGCAGACAGTGGCTTGGGCAGGGCTTGGAGCCCCACTGCATTATTATTGTTTTCCATTTAACACTTTTTAGTGGCTCTGCCGCCTTTCACCTGCAAGTATGCAATATTCTGAACGTAGGTCTATGCCTCGTTGGCCAAAAAAGTGTGGCCAGAACCAACAAATACAGTACATCTCTCAGATGTGGATAAGGGGATAACGACTATCTTCAAAAGTGTGTGACAGCTCTTAAAATATATTTAATGGAATGATACTAAATTAATGAGCAGTTAAAGCAAATAATTATTGGATTGGAACCATTATAAAACTACCATTAACAATACGCTCCGGCAATAATTTATAGAATTTTGAAAGAAGAAATTTCATGGACATGAAAGATGGAAGAATAATTCTGTAAAATCTGTACAGATGAAGATTCGTTTTGCGATTGTTAAAACTGCAGATAACGCTAGTCGGTATCTATCTACTATACCATAAGTATACCAAGTTCATACAAAATCGAAAAAAATTAGGGCCTAATATTCAACAAAAATGAGAAACAGAGGAATGTTTTCCAAATGATATCAGAGCTTTTTATAGAAAGATCTGTCAAAGTGGATCTTTACCGGGGTTCAATACTCAAATCTTTTCAGTTTCATCCGCTCTTCTGCTCCACAAAAAAAGAGTATATCTACTTCTGCTTTGGTACGGGTATTTCCCCAAGTCAATCCAAAAACTCTCCTCCGACGTACGTTTTTATTGTTTTGCTCATTTTTAGTATCAGCTGCGTCAGCATTTCAGTTTTGCTGTTTTAATCTGCCTTCGCCTCGTGCATTGGTCATGTGCGAAATTGTTGCCCCAAGAAGATCCGTATCAGCAGACGGCAGCCGCATGGCCGTACCGCCCCTCCTCCCAGTGGAGTACGGCCTTGGGGGGCAGCATGGATATTTATAACACTACGGCTGCAATTTATTATGCAGTGTCTGGACATTGGACATGGGAGAGAATGAAAGAGAGTGGAGTGGAGTGAAGTTTTGGCTACTTTCACGTGCCACTCACCAAAGATGTCACCTTGTGCTGCCTGCCTGCCTTTCAGTCTGGCTGCCTGGCTGCCTGGCTGCATGCCTGCCTTCAGGCCGGGAAACAGGGGTCTGTGGCACACACAAAACCTGCCCAAGATTTATGCACTCAAGTTATGGCGGGGCCCAGACTGCAACTTTATCGTTGGCCGAGAGTGTTTCCATTTGTGTTCTTCCCCCCCACCACCACCTTTTCCTATTCCCCAGCACCAGCCCAGCAGCTGCTTGACCATAGCACACATTTTCCCTTGGCTCCTTTCTCCAACTTTCCCTTTGGCCCCATGTGGCAGCTGCAGTTACAGTTGTTGCTGTTGCTGTTGCTGTTGCAGTTGCTGTTGCCTGTTCTCGACATTTCCTGTTGCCGTCCGTTATCAGTGCTGCCCCCAAAGTTGTTGTCGACTGCAGATATTTTTGCTTCGCTTCTGTCAGAGTGCGAGTGCGAGTATTTTGCTGCCAAGGAATAAAACTGTGTCTACAATTTAAATAAGCACACAAAAGCTTGGCTTCACGAGGGTGGAGGTGTCGTTCAGGGGCATAGAGAACTTTGACTGCCCGAAGTAAGTTGTTGGTGCGGGGATTTGCAAGAGTTTCACTGATTTAACCCTGAGAATGAGTGCTTAGCTCTTCTGCTGCAAAACTAAGCAGAATTTTACAATGAAATTTGGCTCGATTTGAGAGGTTTTTGGTTCTAGGGGGGACACCCACAGTTTTAGAAACATTAGTTTCATGAACCCTAGAAATGCAACAGCCCAAGAGATAGAGGGATTGGTTGGATATTTCCTTAATTCCTTTCCTTTGCTTTCATGTCCCTTCACATGACTTGAGTTTTTACTAGAGTTCAACAATTTTGGCCTTGAAATAGGTTTATTCTCTTAGTTGGGTTTGAAACCAGAAAAATACTAGAAATAATACCAGAAAATATATGAAAAAATACCTGCAAAACTACTAAAATATTATCATGTTTAAGAAAGACATCTGAGAAAGATACATCTTTGCCTAAGGGATTTATCCTCCAGTATCGCAGTTTGGACTGTGAATATGAATTTGATGCAAGCAGATTTGAGTACATAATTTACAGGTAAACCATCCGCAAATCCCTCTTCAAGTATTAAAACTCCACTCAAAATTCATTCAATTAAATCCCACAAAAACTGTCCCACAAATATGGGACTTTTCGTCCATTATTTCCCTGCCAAAAATTAATCAAAACTCCTGCTTAATTCGATGGAAAACCAAAGCAGCCAAACATTCATCCAGGCTAAGCCTGATTGAAGCAAACGTCATCTATGGCTCGACCCCATCCCCGAGGACGAAACATCATCGGGATCAGGATCATCATAATCATCATCAGTGGCAGCAGGAGCGGGAGCGGGAGCAGGAGGAGCAGCATAAAAACTAATTAAGCATCACATTTCACATCCAATTCGCTTTCTCTCCCCCGAGTATCCCCACAAATGGTAGCAAAAATAATACGAACATTCGGAAAAAAACCAGGAAATGCGGGAAAAATAAAGGAGAAAAAGGGAGAAAGAGGAAAAACAAAACCGAAATCGAAATATAAGCCAAATAAATTTGCCGTTCAGCAAATGCGCTTTCATAATTAATATGAACAACAAGGGAAGAATGGGAAGGATGGGGCGGATGGGGAGGAGAATTAGAGTCCGGGAGGAGCTGCCATGACAGCAAATGGAAATGGAAATGAAAATACAGAAGGAGCAGGAGAGCAGGAGTCAGCAGAATGACGGGAAAACTTCAATAACTTTGAGTCCTTTGGCTTCAGGATTGATGTGCATTACATGAGGACTATTCCGTAGCCGCATCAACATTCGGCTTCTGGATTCTGAATTCTGAATGAAAACAGAAACGAAAGCAGAATTGGTGAAAGAACCGTCCTCTCACCTCGGGGCCCCCCACCGAAA